TATATATATTTATATAATATAATGAATGTATATATATATTTATAATGTGTGTGTGTATGTATGTAAATTAAATTATGTAAACTAAGAAACTGATTGGTTACTGCACTTTTCTGCCAGAGTATATTATCGTTTTAATTTTTTGTGTTTAGCTATATACAGAAATAACTTCATATCACCTCTGTAGGCATCATTATTTCCGTGGCTTGCTGCGTTCCTGCTTTGCCCAATGGAAAGAAGAGTGGTGGATAGCATGTAAAGAATGGAGGCTTGGCGTTCGAGCTGACTGCCACTACAGGTAATGGGGGGAGTTTTGAGTTTGTGTATTGTATGCTTCAGGTTAGTGACCTTTTTATTGGCATTTTTTTCCTGCTTAATTGCACATTTTGAGGAAAAAATACTAAAAGCACACTTCTTCATAAAAGAAAAAAATTTTAATTTATGTATATATTTTTTTTCTGCACTTGAGCCAGAAAAGCAGTGCAACCGCGATCAGTAGATCGTGGGTGCAGTGCTCTGGTTCCTGCAGACTCTTCCTCCCATCCATTTCAGTATGGTAATTCAGTGACTTGGTGGAGCCACGCACACCAAATTCAAAATACAGCAGCATCCTGCAGGGAGAAGTACCAGTTGATTCAGGTAAGTGGGGAAGCCAATGTGACCATGTTGCATTTTACACCCTGTATATGAGTAGAACATAAAACAGGTCTGAAAGGAGCCTTTAATGTGACCCTGTCAGATACATAGTCTATCTCAAGTAAACCCCTACTTGTAAAGAAAGGAAATACTTGCCTTTCCTGCTGTCTGCACCACATAAATTGACTGTGCATGATAGATGAATGGTTCTCTATACTGACACTTCTGGGAGTGGCCATCTCCTTGATCCCTCATTGCTCCCATTGTTTCTTCCTGCTGACCTCCATGTCGTGGGTGACCTAAGAGGTCAACCCTCCCAGGAGTGTCTGTTTCTCAGCAGCCTTCAGGAAAGTTACTTTATACCTTTTGTACCCTGGCTCTTTAAAATTACCTTCGAACTCCTGAGTTGTAAATGTATTATTTCTGAGCATTATTTATTTTGTTTTGTATTGAAAAAAAGTGTGAATAAAGACATAGAAATGAAATTTGTGACTTATGCATTTACTCATGTAGCAGCAAAAAGAGGAGACACATTCTGGGCCCCAGGAAAAAAAAAATACCCTTGTAGTGGGGTGTCCCTGGAGGAGTTAAATGCTTGTTAAATCTAGGGGTAGGGGAATAAGCTGTAATACTTACCTCATTCCTTGCTCCAGCAGGCTTCCTCAATGCTCTGCGACTTGGCCCCCCTGAAGCCTTGTCTCTAAGACGCTCTGGCTGGCAATCGCACTCTGACGTCAGGGGGAGAAGGAAGGCAAGTATCCCAGCTTATTCCTCTACCCCCTAGACTTAACCAGGCCACTTGTTCAGCATTATAAAGACATTCATTAGCAAGTCTAGTACGTAGACTGTTGTACATTTTCTGTTCACAATGTAGTTATCTTAATCTAGGATGCAACACATCCGCTTTCTTTTGCTACACTTAGAGTAACACTGTGTACGTTTACTGTGTCTTAAACCTTTAGGTATATCTGTTACAAGATGTGTTTCTATGCATGGAAGAAATTTGTGCAGATACAGCGGAAGACCAAACGGAAATATCAGGTTGCAGAACGCCATGGTAAGGATTCTCCTTTCACATGAGTGAAATGAGAAAATGGCAAGTATGCCATCTATAACTAGTAAGGGCAGTTCACTGTACGTACATAATACAATAATTCTCAGCACTTACTGTATACCCATGCTAGGCAGCAAAAGGAATCTAAACTCGGAGCAAGCTTACCCAGTTGTTACCGCAGTAATTCATGAGAGAGCCAAATTCATTCAGGCAGCTGAAGACCTGTAAGTGTTAGAAAAATATTTCCTTTCACACAGGACAGTGAAAGAGGAATTTAGATGCAATGGGGTTATCCTGTCGCCTACAGGAGGATTGGACACTGGCAAACCGAAAAATCTTAAGCCAGCTCCATAGCAAAACCCCTCCTCTACCCGGCTTGTTCAGTTTTTTGCTAGTGTCCTTAGAGGATGGACATCTTTTTTTTTCTCCAGCCCTTCTGGGAAAAATGTAATTTTTTCTTTGTTCCAGCATTTTTTATTTGTGGATTCCTCTTTTATTCCCTTCAATCAAGATTCTGAGCAACATTGCTTCTTGAGCTGGTTTCTATATAGTAGCTATCCAGATCAGCATTTCCTCCTAGCTTTGGAAGCCATATCCAGACCCTGCTGGACTGTGTACGCATGGTTAGCCTGAAATGTGACCTTTGGGCACTGGGTTCTGCATGTTTTTGTTCTTATCCTCAGTAGCTTTTGGCGGTCCCTATCTCACCATTCTGGGGATGAGCCCTGAAAGTCTTTCCTGCAGATCTTAGTGGAAGTGTGTGTTCCTGGCATTATCTTCCCCGTCACACTAATTTTTGGGGATTCAACCCTTGAGTTCTCTAGTTGGCTCAGGGTCTCTTTACACCCTGGGTTGTACTAATACCATGCATTTTCTGGTGTACCTCACTTACTGGTTGAGGTTGTTTGGCTAGGCAACCTCCTTTGGTCACAGTTTTAATTTTACCCTAAGGCTGGGTTTACACCTCGGCGGTCGTAATATGTGCGTCAAACGCACGTTTTTGGCCGCACAATTTTTGCGCGGTCTTCTGTCCATGAAATGCGCGTTTACGAAATCTCATATTGCGGAAGTCAATCCGCCACAAAGAAGCTCAAGTACTATTTTGAGCGTTGGGCGTTTTTCAGTGCTTCGATCCGCACTGAAATACACCCAGGTGGGAACCATGCCCATACCAATTAATAGGATTTCACTTGCTGAGCGTTTTTCAGCGCTTCGATCAGCGCTGAAAAACGCCCAGGTGTAAACCCAGCCTTAGAGTTGGGTAGGGTAGGTCTCGGCCCTTCCAGGTAGACCAGCTGTTTGTTTGTTTTCTTGTATTTTTGTTTTGTGTTTTTTTAACCAACACCAGATTGTTGCTCCTTCCCTGTTGGGAAATTGTTATTGTTCCACCTCCTATAGAAGGGGTTATACTGGGGGCTGGGTTTTCATTTTTCTGTTTGCCAGTGTCCAGTCCTTCTGTAGGTGGCAGTATAACCCAGCTGTATCTCAAATCCTGCGCCCCTCAATGGACTCCAAGAAATGGATTTTACAGTAAGTATAAAAATCCCATTTTAAATGGACTACCTCACCTTAGCATGGCTTCTTCCTTTCTTGTTGAGCTTAATTTTCTCTTCTTGCTATGATTGATACACAGCGCACACGTTACTGGACCTTTGAGGAAATGATGGAAGGCTAAATGAGCTTTATCCTAATTTAGATGCCCCAATTTTGGTATTTTTTTAAAATTAAAGAATGACCCTTTAGGCATTTTGATATCGCTGCTTGGATTCCATATATATTTCAAATGAATAGAGCAAAGACCACTGTCTTTATTAAAGGATAATTAAAGCCTCGGGTGTTTTTGCATATATCTACTGCTAGCAAGCAGTAGATATATGCAAAAAGTGTAAAAAAAAAAAAAAAACCTGCTTTGAAAAGGGTTAATACTTACCCGTGTCTTCCCCGTGAGCTCACGTCCGAAAATGAAATGTGAATCTGCTCCGGCGGCCGTAAAGCATCTTGGGGCGGGCGCATGCGCAGATCACATTTTCGCCCCGGGACGCGAGCAGAGACACAAGGTAAGTCTATGGACGCGTGCACCCGCATGCAGACACCGTGGGACAGAAAATGCCAGCAAGGACAGAGGAGTCAGAGCTGGATCGGAGACCCGCCGCAGAGCTGGAGGCACAGATGAAAAGGACAGGAAAGAAGAAGATTGGATTAAGAGACATCATTTAAGGTAAGTGCTGACATTAACATCGGGGGGAGGGAAAAACATTTTTGACTTTAATGTTAAAAATAGGTTAAACTTAGTTCACATATTTTGGCTGACTGACTGCTTATTTTATCATTGCTTAAAATGAAAGATCTCTGTCCTTGTGATGTGATTTATGAAAACGATATAAAATTATTGCATTGTTATGGAGCATTATTAAATTGTTTGTATATTTCCTGTTTACAGTTCAGAAGCGGATCATGCATCAGGCTTGGCATCACTGGATTATCTATGTGCATATCTGCAGAACCAAGCATCACATGCTTTCTGAAGCTCTGGAGTTCAGACAATATGGAGACCTGCAGTGAGTTGAAAGTAACTGTAGATTAGCTACTCTTTGGTACTCTTACTATACAGACTGATCATGTTTAATCTTTACCAGCAATACGTGGCACATGTGGTTGGTCCAGTTCCAACGTAGACAAAAAATCCACTATATGGAGACTCTGTCCCTAAAACACTGGGCTGTGGGCCTGCAAATGAGGGTATGTCAGACTAAATGAATATAATCTTCTCCTTTTAAAATTATTTTGTCTTTGTTTATATTTTTTACATTACCTAATGAAATGAAAGATTATAAATTTTGGCTCTCGAACATGCATATATGTTACACCTTAAGACCGCTAACTTTAGATAATAAAACAATATTGGATCCTCTGACACTTATGATTGTCTCTTTTCCCAGGAGGGAGGTTAGGACCGGTAAATATCACTGATATTTACCGATCCCCCGCTCTGCCACGCACAGAGCCACTGCCATCCTGAAACTGACAGGATGACAGCGGCTCCGATCTCCTACCTGCTCGGCCATCCTGACAGCTGCGGGCGCGGCTTCTCTCCCCCTCACCGCTCCGCCATCCTGACAGCAGGCAGCGCTGTGCGGGCCACATTACAAGGTCCGGCGGGCCGGATTCGGCCCGCGGGCCTTGTGTTTGCCACCCCTGCCTTACATGAATACAACTGTAGAGGCAAAGGGTTTGAGTACTGACATTCAGGTAAAGCCAGCCCAACAGTGGCTCTACCTGAACTGACAAGACCGGTAATTGTATGTTTTGGCAGAGACCAGGTGACTAATCCTACTTTCTGCAGAAGACTGCTAGCAACATTTAAGGCCTATTTCTGTCCAAAACTGTGTCCCCCTCACATCCTTTTTCCAGTGACAGGTGTCAGCGTGTTATGCTTGAAAAACCCAATGTATTTCTTAAAAGCAATTACTGCAGCCCCAGCAGTAAAACGGAAATGGACATGCAAGAAAGGCAGGTGCTGGGGTCTACATTAGTTAACATTTAACATCACTTTAAGAATAGTAACACAAAAAAATGTTTTTTTTATTGATGGTATTACAGTGGTATTCAAGATCTACTTTATATCGCATTCATTTGTACTTTTTTTTTATTCTTTATAAGAAGATATGTTCATTTGTACTTTTGCCTTGGTCTGTCTCTCTTGGTTTTCCACCTCATGTGTTGGTTTCTATCTGCTGAAGGTTTGGCTTCAATGGAGAGAATTATACCTTATCACTCAGGAGGAGAAGCATAAGGAGCAGAAGGCATTAATGCATTTTCAGTGCTGCAAGTTGAAGACCTCAATGAGATCCTGGCTTATCTACATATATTATCGAAGACGCAAGAGGCAGCAGAATAGTAAGAGCTATACGTGTGTTCTGTAAAAGTGATCTTATTCTGACTTCATTATGGCTGAAAAAGCAGCAGTCTGTCATCTAATACCTGCCCCTTATGATCTGCTTTTTTGTGTGTTATAAGAAATGTAAGAGTTATGTAAGATCACTTGTGTCTTTTTCAGCGCTGGCCGTGCGTTTCTGTAATGCAAATGTGATACAGCAATATTTCTCAATCTGGGTCCACATCTTTGATGAAGTTAAAAAGATGCAAGCCGTCCAAGAACGCTGTGGTTTCCTAGCACGTCGATGTGTTCTTAGAAGAACCTTTACTCACTGGAAACATTGTATCCATTTATGTCTTGAAAAGTGAATATATATGAATTGATGCATGCTATGAACATATCTCACATTCTTGCATTTCTCCCTAAAGATTAGAAAAACATAGACTTTAAAGTACACTCTATTCAAAGCTACAAATTAAGCCTTGAAATGCAGACGAGGTGCTGAGCCTGCTTGCTCAGTACTTTAGTTTTTCATCTAGGGACATACGTAGAGCACCAGGCCACTTACATTTATTTCATTAGTAATTAGGGGAAATGCTGGGAGATGCTTGCTTCTCATGTTGTAGACTTCTTGCTGCCTCTCGCATGCAGTACAAGTTTTTCACAGCCACCAATAAGATTTAAACGTCTATTGGAAGGATAAGGCTCTGTTCACACCTCAGTGTTTTGTCGCTCAAGCTAAGCATGACAAAATTGTCTTATCGCTCAAAAGGTAAGCACGACAAAACGCTCAAGACAAGGAATCCCATTCATTTCTATGGCCCACTGATCGCACCTCAGCGCTGTAATCTGACAAAAAGTAGGCCATGTACTTTTTCCAGCGACAGGTGTTTTTCTGTTTGTGACAAAACGCTCAGATGTGATCAGGTGGCCATAGAAATGAATGGGATTCCATGTCTTGAGCGTTTTGTCACGCTTACCTTTTGAGCTATAAGACGCCTTGGTGTGAACAGGGACTAAAGGTGATGGGTGATGCAGGCAGAGCGGTTACGCAGTACAGACTTCTTCAAGTATTCTGTTCCCTCGGTGCCTCTTATTCAGCCTGTGAGATGGTCGATAAAATGGTCAGTGAAATCTGGGAGTAGTGGATTACAAAAAAACTCAGACTAAAGTAAACTGAATTAAGGTTCTTATTTTAGCACACTGTATTGTTTACTTGGTAGCATTGACAGATTGATTGGTTTTACTTGTTGCCGGGAATTGCTCCCTAATGATTAGGAAAGCATTTAATTAATCAGATAAATGAATTACATGTGAAAGAAACAGGCTTTACCACATCATATATGAAATCAAATTAAAGCAGAAATCTAGGCTCAACAAATATTGTACAAAAGATGTGCATTCTTTGAATCTTGATGTGTCATTTTGTGTATGGCTTCCAGATCTGCCAGAAACATCCCCTACACTTTCCCTCTGTGCAGGAGTTTTCTGTAATGAAGACCGATCACTGCCACTCTCTCTCCTTGTGCACCCTGCACAAAATTAAAGGAGGGGGGGAGAGAAGACCAGTCACCCTGACTGGTCTTCTCTCCCCCCCTCCTTTAATTTTCTGCAGGCAGCCTGTAGTGGGTGGGCCTGCTGGATCCCCCAACAGCTCTCTCTCTGCAAAAGCTATGTACAACACTAGAGGTGCACCGAAATAGAAAAAAATTGTCAGGCCGAAACAGATACCGAAAATGTTTGTATTTTAATTCTTAATATATTTAATTATTTTTTTATAAACTTTAAAACATTTTTATATTTTTATTCATTTTTTTATTTAATATTTTTATTTTTTACATTACTTTTAGGGGCTTCGGGGAAATATCAGGGGTCTAAACAGACCCCTGATATTTCCCTTTTAAAATAGAAAAAGAGATTGAGAACAGAGTCCTCAATGAACAGGAATCCTCTGTGAATGTTCCTGTTCATTGATAACTTGAGAACATAGTAGGTTTACTATAACCACAATTATGAATGAACAGGAGTGGATATAGATCCCTTCCCATTCATTCATAATTGAGGATATAGTAACCACACACTGTCACAGGAGGCTGAGTGAGAGGTGCAGGGAGGAGAGCTCAGCCTCCTGTGACAGCGCTGTCTCCGCCCCCACACCGCACTGTGATAGGTGGCCGAGCGGTGTGGGAGGAGAGACACCAGCCACTCAGCGCTCTTGTCCCACAGCGCTTGGCCGGCTGTCACTTTCTCTCCTCCCCGCTGGGACACAGAGCAGCGCCGAGCGGGGAGGAAAAATCACGGATGCGCCGATGCATTTAGCCAAAAGTTCCATTTTCGGCCAATATGTTTCGGCGGCCGATATATCGGTGCATCCCTATACAACACAGTGAGAATGTTACTGCTGTTGGGCAGCAACAAGGTAAAATCTGGGTTTGCAAAGGCATGTGGTGGACACGAAGTGGATTTATATCCGTTGTTGCTATTGAACAATATATTCACATTTTTTGTGCCTGGAGTTCAGCCTTAATAATGGGGCTATTTCCACAGACTCTGACTTTAATGCTAAATGCAGAATTATACATTACTTTGTGTTGTCATTTTTAGTAATAAGGTACATACGTGTATCACAGTTCCTTAAATGACTAACAGACATGCTGATTGTCTCTGAAGAAGTACATTTGCAAAATCTGGCCCAGAACCATTATCGATTGCACCTAATGGTATTTGTTTTCTATTTCTTCTGTACAGTTTCTTCTTTAATGCTTGTTCTTTTGATAGTGTACTTATTAGCCCAAATGTTCCGGTACTTCCAATACCGGAACTCCGGTCAGGAAGTTCCAATCAGGAAGCTGGGTTATGACACGCCTCCTGGCTTCCTAATTGGCTAGGAAGACGGTTTCACTTGTTGGTAGGCAGCCTGGCTTCCTAACCAATCAGGAACCTGGGCAGCACGTCATGACTTGCCTCCCAGCTTCCTAGCCAATCAGAAAGCTGAGAGGCGGGTCATGACGTACCACTCAGCTTCCTGATTGGCTAGGAAGCCAGCTTCATTTGTTGCAAGGCAGCCTGGCTTCCTGACCAATCAAGAAGCCGAATGGGACCTCATGAACTGCCGCCCGGCTTCCTGAATGTTCAGGCAGCCTCGACAAGTGAAGCTGGGGTTCTTTCGAAAAAACACCGGCTTCCCAGGCAATCAAGAAGCCGGGAGACGGGTCATGATCCGCCGTCCGACTTCCTGATAATCGGGGCACAGGTATCAGTACTCGGTATCGGCGAGTACCAATATTTTTTTTTTCCAGAAAAACCAGTACCAGTATCAGCGCATCCCCAGTACTTATGTTTTAAAACGTTTATATTTGTTATTGCAGGATGTTGGCTGTCGTGCCTTAAAGAAAAATGTATCGCTTGTACATACCACACAGAAGAGGAAGGAGCAAGCTAGCCATCAATACCAATCTTGGGTGAGCAGCCTGACTAGATTGTCAACTAATCAGAATTTAGCCTGCAGATCTTTGTGATTTCTGTATTTAGCATAACTCCTTTTTATTTTTAGCACCTAGAGAAAAATTAGCATTTAACCCTTGCAGTTTGGGGGTAGCCCCACTGCAAGGGTTAATAAAATTCTTAACCGGAGTTCTTTAATGTAGAGTACTGAATTAGTAGATTTTGATATTTTGGGAGGTTTCTCACTGCTAACTTTCAATCAGATTATGAAAATTGTAAATGCTTTTTAAAGAAATCTTGTAAAAAGTAAGCATGAAGGCTATCATTGCTGACCACTGCAACAATTCTGAGTTTCCTAGCTGTCATGGTGATCCAGTAAACTTCCAAGAAAGTACTTTCGGGTGAAAATTCAACCATGGGTGGCCCTGTCACCACCACCCTGGCTCGAAAAACTTCAGCTACTAAAAGACCTGTGTGGAATTTTTTGGGCGAAATTGAATGCAGTCAGTCAAATGCAGTCACTGTTTGGGGATTTCGACAGCCGTTGTTGCCTGTTGTCTGAATACAACAGCAGGGGCTTCTCCATCCATGCTGTTAAGCATGGATGGGGAATCGTGATTTTTCTGGTTAGGCCCACAGGGCTTAACAAGATCAATCTAGCTGTGTATGGCTAGCTTTTAACTCACTGCTTGTTCAAGGTCATTTTCTCAAAATATTGAATCCATAGAGCTGGGCAATGGCAGGCTCAGTATTTTTCTCAGTGCAGGATTCGTTTAAATCCTAACATTTCAGTTTCTGTATATATTTTATTGCTGCGTAGCTGCTGCGTAGGTTCTGGACTGTGTGGCAATATCGTCTGGAGCAAAAAGAGGAAGAAAGACTTGGCTCTCTTACAATGGCAGCACAGTCTCACTACAGGTATAACATACAATGGTTCTCAGAATTATACATACAGTATCTGCTGATATTCCATTCCCATGCATCTGATTTTTTTGTGTTTTTTTTTTTTTTTTGTTACAGATTGTTGCTGTTGCAGAAATACATCAGTGCCTGGGTGCAGTACATTCAGCTGCACAAGTTTAAAAAGGTATTTGTCTATTTGAGCTAGACAGTTGTTGCCATTTAGAACAAAATGTCTTTGTAAGGATGGGCACACACCTTACAACCATCGTAAGACTTTTGTCTAGCGATGGTTGTAAGGTACTTAAAAAACCGTACGATCTGCCTATCTTGCATAGGCAGATCGTACTTGCGATGATCGCAAGCCACGCCCCCTGAGGGGTGGGCTTCCGATGAACGCAATGCCGAACGGGCAGTGTGCGCTTGCGCACACCGGCCCGTCTGGCTTTTATCATACGGACATGCCACAAACCCGCCGAACATCGTACAATGCTCGGCGGGTTTTCGAACATGTCCGTAAGTTAAAAGTCTTGCGACCTTACAGTAGTAGAGGTCGCACGGCTTCCACACACCATACGATAATCGTACGATCGCGGGATTTCCCGCGATTATCGTACGATTATCGTAAGGTGTGTGGGGACCTTAAGGCATCTCATTAAAGAGGAACTGATCCCTGGAAGCAGTACTCCAAAAAGGCAGGCAGAGGGCTAAAGACTACTGGCAGTATTGCCTGTGTTCTCCCTGCTGTTGATTTTTCTCCATTAGAAACTGACCATGCCTTTTTCTGCATTGTCTTTGTGATCGTGTAAGAGGCATGTCTTTGCTTTCCCCAGCAAGGAGAACAGCGAGCCGCACAGTAGTGAATTCAGCAAATCATACTCTGTTTCTCCTAAAAACTACCGATCAGTAGCAGGAGTGCCTTAAATCTTGCACTGCAGATATAAAGCTATGAGGCTATAGGCACAGGAGCATCTAGGAACACATACCAGGGCAGGAGCATCTAGGAACAGTTGCATACCAGGAAGTGCATTGCTATTTTCAGGAGGTATTTAAATCAAAAGATAACATTTTCAGGGTATTGCTTTGGCACAATTCACTTTTGTAGATGTCACCTAGTACATAGTAAATCTTCACTTTTTGAGTTGATTTCCTCTTTAATAATAGTACATGCTTCCAATACTTAAACAGTTCATATTGGCTCATAAAGGTAACATACATTTAAAGGGTTTAGCACTGGACGTAAAAGGGCCCAGTGTGATTGCTGCTTTTGCTTGACTCAGATTCCCTATTATAATTTTCTCCCAGGTGCTGGTCACCACAGCAGAGAGCCATTATGCCAAGAGCCTGTTACCTCGCTGCTTCAATACATGGAGGACATGCACACACTTACAGCAGAAGAACAGAGAAATGGAAGATCAAGCCATCGGGTTTCACAGGTATACAACCTAGATGTTTTTCTGTTTTAGTGTGTAGTAGTGGCGGTATCTATATTGACTTATGTGTCCGACATTCCAGAGCAAGGTATATGTATGTTGGTGTGGTCTGATTATTTGTAGATGGGTGTTCCAAACTGTCCATATGTGGCCAAGTTATACCTCAATTGCTTATTTAAAGTCTGTCTCTCTGAGAGAAATATGGGGATGCTTCTAAAAATGCTAATTTCCTAGTAACCTCACTACTTTGAGTCATGAAACCAGGAGCATGTATACATCATGTGAAGTCAGAGTAAAGCGAGAATAATTGAACTGTATACTTATTCTTATACTTTAAAATAGTAAATATTTTTGTCCTCAAAGGCCAGTCAATTAGCATTTTCATAGTGTCAACAGTGGGGATTATGCATTTATCTCTGTGCAGGTTTACTTTCAACTTTTTGAAAAACATTTTTTATTGTAAACGATAGTTCTTTTTATCCGAGTGATACACAGTGTACACAGTAATTGATTGCCTGTGCCACAAAGTGAAATGATAATTACAGTTGTGTTATAAAGTTATGTTGGAGGATTATATAAATGTGGGCTATTCCTTTTTTATTGCTTAGGTCTTGTGTACAAAGAAGAGCGCTTTCTACCTGGTGTGAGAAGCTGAACCATCAGAAGGAGACTCGCTTGGCTGAGAGAATGGTCAGCACTGCTTTCTGTGAACAAACCCTGGACATTTGGTACATTTCGAAGTGGCTGATGCTGTTCAGTGACTTTACCTTTTGCCATTGTTCTCTAATTCTAGGCTGTATTGCACTATAACTGGCAGCTGCTGGATCAGTACTGGAGCTTATGGAAAAGGCGCCTGTCAGCTGTTCAAGGAGAGCACGAGTTGGAAATGTTGGCTTCAGAGCACTGCTGGAGACAGCAGCTGATCCACATGTTACACACCTGGAGAAAACATGTACAAGACATCAAAGCTGAGTAAGAACAAAAAAACATAGTGATTGATGTTAGACCACCAAGTTTAGACCATCTTCGCTTTAGGGTATGGCAAGCTTTATATACATCCTGTTTCCTGGGGGGGCAGTTTTTGCTTAGTTGTGTGTTGCTTAAATTTCTCTTTTATATCAGTCTTTAATTCATGTCTATAACTTGTCATTTTGTAATTCTCTATGTACATTTGCGGCACTGTATGAATTCATTATATATACCTTATGTTGGATTGCAGTATCCATACAACTTCCAAAATCTGTGAACATGCCATTTATGTCTTTGATCATTTTATGCTCTATGAAATCCTTTTGAATGATGGTGAAAAAAAAATACATCTGTTAAGAGAAAAGTTATGGTTCCAGTTGTGATCCAGCCAGCTGTTCTCTTCTGTTGTCAACACCTTCAGCTTCTTATCCTATTTTACTGTGTAGTGTGACCAAGCAGCAATGTGATAATAGGTCCCTGATGCTATATTCTGTATCATCACCACTGCACAATCTACCTTCCTCTAGTAATGGCCCCTGTTTTTAGAATACTCAAATCATATACTTTGATTTTTGGAATTTTAGAGTGATTAATGGAAGCCATTAAATTAGAGTCTAGAAATGAACACAGCCAAAGTGTTTCTTCCACCAGAGAAACTTGAGTCTTTCTGGTCACAAATCCAATCTCTCTAGTCCAGGAGTCACCGGACTCTCCACTTTTGAGTCCTGGACCTTTTATGATAGCCTCCTTCATGACATTTCCATTTGCCCATTTTTTCACTACAGACCTTTTACTTTGCTATATTCTGTTATCTTGGGACGTGTCAAACAGGTCATATTAGTTTGTTTGGCACCGAGGATTGTGCCTGGTCTGGTGGTTCAAGAAGCCAGCTCTGGAATTGGGGAATCCTTAATTCTGGAAGATTGTCAGGATGAATGTCGGCCTGAGAAGGTGTCCTGGGCACCCTGTTGCTGCAGGGGACTTGTACATTGTCAGAATCTCATCTTCTGATCACCATCCTAGAACTTTGGGTGATTTGGCTGTCTCTGCAGCATTGAAATGGTCATTGATCTGGATTCAGTCTGACAAAGCCACATCGGTGGCATATTTCAACCATCAGTGAGAAACCAGAAGTCTCGCCAAGGCAAGTAGTTTGGATCCTGGCCTGGACAGAACTTCATGTTTCTGCTTTATCCGCCCAGATGTAGACAATTGGCAGGCAGACTTCCTTCTCCAGTAGTGCTTTGTCCTGGGGGACTGGTCCATACACCAAAAGGTCTTCTAGGACCTGCGCCCCAGTTAGGGGAAGCCGGATATGGATCACCTGGACTCCAGGTTCAAGAACAAACTCAAGCTATTTGTCTCCGGTGCCAGGATCCTCTAGTGGAAGCAGTGTATACTCTGGTGGCTCTATGGGATCAGTACACCCTGGCATATGTGTCTCCTTTCTTTCACAGCATTGAGATAGAGGGCGTTCTTGTGCTCCTCATTGCTCCAGACTAGCCCAGACGGATGTGATATGCCAACCTGGTAAGACCAGCAGACACTCTGTGGGCTCTGTCAAATTGCTGGGAACTAGAATCGTTTTGCATCCTACTTCACGGTCGCTGGCTTCAACGGCATGGCTGTGGAACCCCTGTGTTTTTAGAGTCAGGCATCTATCACAAATGTGTTTTCTATGATGCTAAAAGCTAGAAAAGCTATTTGTATTTCAAAGTTTTTATTATACAAAAAACAATTTGTTACATTCAAGTATTATATGTAGCGCAGTAACATATCAGATAAGCCTATGGTCTCACCACTGTATCCCCTCTCCCCCTTGTCTCTTGTTCATGCTATTATGATCGCGTTAGCTAGAAAAAAGCTATTTGGAAGACATACTTCACTTGGAGCGAGTCTTGGTGCTTCCATCCTACTAATTTGTCTGTAGGACAAATCCTTACCCTTGTGCAGATAAATCTGGACCTACATTTGGCTCTTAGCACTTCCAAGGGCTGGATGTTTGAATCATGCAACCTACCCAGTTTGCACAGCTACTACCTGGTTTTCTGTTTTAATTTTCTATGTTCTACCAGGTATATTTAAGGTCTCCTCTGATGCCAGCTTCGGGCGTTGAGTGCTTTAGTCGATTTCGTTTTTAGTTGTCTTTTTTGGGCCTGTTAGCCTTTGTTGCTATTTTTCCCACCCTTCTGTTGGATGGCTTTTGAAAGTCCTGGCAGTTAGACCTCCTGTGTCCCTTAATGGAAGAGAAAAAATAGATAACTTTTTTTCTGATTGCAGCTATCCAGGATGGTTGTTTTCAGCCTGGCTTTTGAAGTATCGCGTCCAGACACTACTAGACCGGGATTACCTGAAACTGACATTTGGGCACTGGATTCCATGTGTGCTTTTCAGACACCATGCTAGTAAAAGTTAGCTTTGGAGCCCTTTTGTAGGTCCAAAGCCATTGGCATTGCCTCAGCGCTTGCCTTGTCTATGAAGGCTCGCTTAGTAAGTAGGCCATCTGGCCTGAGCACCAGGATCTACCTCTTTCATTGGTCGCTAAGCACCTGTAAATTCGCTGTTCCTGCCAGTTTCTACCACAAAAGGGGTTCATGCTTTGTGACTGAGCACTGATGTTCTCTGCTGGGTGGAATGCCACACACTCTTTCCTGTCATGCAGAATTGCGGAAATTCCCCTGCGCTGCTGCTCCTGAAACAGGCCACGTGGAATTTCAATCTTTGATAAGTTCTGGCTATAGTGACTTCAGTCACCGCTGGCCATTTAAACCTTACCTGCTACCAGCTGTATTTTGTGAATACCTGAGGCCTTTCCTCTTACCTTGAGCAGTATGGTACTTTACCATCATGCAGTCAGATCTTGTCTTATTCTACACATGAGGGAAACAGTCCTGCTCTACCTGGTGCCCCAAGCTCACACTCTTAACAGCTCCGAGGCTGCTTGCAGTACATCTGCTGATGGTGGTGATGTCTGCAGCCTGGAATTTAGTTGTCTTCTGCTCCTAGAGTCTACCCTATCAAGTCCAATCTTTGTAGGGTGTAGCTGCATTCTCTGCCTCTTGCTGTTGTGGGAAAAGTCAGTCAGGTCCCTGGACAGACCAGTCTGTTTGACACCAAGGGTCCCTGACTTGGTTGCTCTGGAATCAAAGAAGTCTTTCCTTCCCAGCTTTTGGAGGATCCTCAAGAAGGATGCCAGCCTGTTGGCAGGAGAGGAGTCCTGGTGTGAGTCTCAGGGCTTCCACCCTAGTGGTTCTCTGTGCGACAAATCCTCTCCTTTCTGCAGCTGGGTTTAGATCAGTTCTTGGCACCATCAAGGGCCAGGTTTCTGCCCCTTATTATCTTTCAGAGAACTTGGGCCTCTCGTGCCTTGATTTTAACCTTTGTACAGGGGGGTCTCCCATGAATCTTCCCCTGTTCATTCCCCAGTGACTCTGTGTGAAATGTAATCTGGTGCTCTATGTGCTTTAAAAACACATTTGAACCCACTAGTGAGAACACTCTCTCTCTACTCTCACTCTCAAGGTGGTATTCCTTTTAACCATCATCTTGGCAAGGTGAATGTCTGAACTGGCAGCTTTATCCTGCAAGGAACCCTTTCTGTTTTTGGCTAGAAACAAGGTGGTGTTGATGCCCAGAACCTCCTTCTTGCTTAAGGTGTTTCTGCCTTTACCTCAACCAGGATATCCTTGTCCCATCCCTCTGTCTGCTACAGTTAACTAAAAGGAAATTTCTCTCCATTATCTGGATGTGGGCTTCTGTCAGAAGACAGAATCCCTTTTTGTCCTCTCAGATTGACCCTATAAAGGGTACCATGGCTTCTTGTTCCACCATCTCTAGATGGCTCAGACATACCATCATCCAAGCTTTATGGTGTCAAGGATTGTGTTTCACCCCTTCCTCTCAAAGCACACTCTACCATACTAGATCTATGAGTGCCTCTTGAGCTTTTTTTTTTTCTTATTTGCAAGGATACCACCTGGTCTTCCGTTCACATGCCCTCTTAAGATCTACTAAGTGCATCTGAGGCTCCGGGAATAGTCATTTTAGATGACTCTTTAAACCTGCAGGCAGTCTCCAGTTCTCTTGTTCTTAGGCCTGTTAGCGTTTGTTTGCTGAGTTGCTCACCCCTCAGTTGGACTGCTTGTGAGTGTCCCGAAGGTTAAAGACCTCCTGTGTCCGTCAATGGACCAGAGAGAAAATAGGATCTTTGTACTTGCCATAAAAATCCTTTATATGGAGTTCACTAAGGGAAACAGGTCCTACACTTACAAAACTGAGGCCTACTGGTGGTAGGAGGGGTTAGGCCTACAATTGTTTTTCTTTGTGTCTAATCCTCCTGTAGGCATAAGTATAACCCAAAGTATAAAGACTTCCTTTGTCCCTCACTGGACTCCCAGAAAATATTTTCATGGTGAATACAAAAAATCATATTCTAGGGATGCTCTAAAAAAAAAAAAAACATATATCTTTTATATACTTGTGATCTAAGGTAGTTTAAAATGATGAGGCCATTATACATTTTGGGACATGTGGCTGGCATAGTGTCTATAGTTTATACTGTATATCATATGGAAGCAGAAGGGAAAGCACAAGCAGAATGTAGTATAAGAAAAAACTCAAACAATGTAGCTATTGTAAGTCAGAGCAGATTAGTGACTAGCTTTTTTCATGTAGGATTCCTTTCACAGTGGTGTTCTTGTTTCTATATCAGGCGATCCAAAGAGGAGGCAGCAATGAGTCATCACAGACAGCACTGTATGAAGATATGCTGGCATCACTGGAGAATGGTGAGCCTTTTCTTGTATGCTTGAAACACTTTTCTTGCTGGTTGTCTTAATGGCTCTGTAAGTGTGCTAACAGGCAGTTCTCTACAATGGAAACGATAATGCTTTTTATTCAGTTTTATGTTTAAAAATTTGCAAGTTTATGAACTGATTTTTAAAAAAATATATATTATTGTTTTTTTTTGTTGCTTATATAAAATCTTCATTTAATAAAACAGAATCCTGGGGATTTCTATTAAGTTAACACTGACTCTCGCTCACTTGACTGGTTCTAACTAAAAGTCCATTATGGGTTCTAACTAAAAGTCCATTATGGGTGACTTGTCAAGAGTGAGAGGGATATGTCCACCCTCTGAGATATTAAAGCTATCTAGACCCAAAATAAATATGTCATATGTTGCAGCTTACCAACCCGTAGATGTGGTGGATACATTTGTTTTGCGTTTTTTTAGCCATTTTTCCTTTATTTTCACCTTGTCCTGCAACATTCTTCCTGTCCTAGGCTGGCTCCACTCTATGGAGGAGCAATGGAGCCACCCTTGGATAATCAGCGTTGGCAGCCTGGGGAGAGGGTAGTGCTAGATGCACTAGCAAATTGAGGTGGACCTGACTAACAAAATTAGACATGAAGAGCAGAATATTAAATGACACCGGGCTATTCATGCCATAACAGTAAGGACCCTTCACACCACATCCAGATTATTTGCGGACCAGACCAGATTGATTCCGGACCCAAAATGCATCCTAATGTATCCCTATGCTATTTCTGGCCTCTGTTCCCACCAGCACAGTCCGTTCTTGACCAGAAAAATACTGCTTGTCCTATGTTGTCTGGTCTGGAATGCACTGGAACGCATTAAAAATGCATGGAATTGTAAGACCATTTTAAGCTAATAAAAATAAATATTTCCAATCGCTGCAAAATCGCAGTAAAAACGCAATGCACTATGTTCCAGATCTGGTCTGAAAAATGGTGTGAACCCAGCCTTAATGTCTGTGTAGAAATGGTGAGTGCCATTAGCTGGCTGCCAGTAGTAAATATGCATAGGCAGGTTTTTAGTATTTACCTGAATAAAAAGAAACCTCTATTTTTTTCATTTTCACAAAAAATGCCTTCAATTTAGCACTTCAGCTCCTTTTACGCCTCATGTACACAGAGCTATAATGTGTGACTGGGATTCCTCTGGCAAGAATCTGCGAAATCTTATGGCAGGAATCCCAAGTGGGTCCATACAGATGTCCGTTGCAGTCCACATGTAATTGTATATGGAACGATTACCTGCGGTTCAGGATAGAGTCTTGTCCCTGGATGCAGAAGCAGGTATAGGATTACATGCAGATAACCACAACAAGCTTTTACTGAGCTTTTGCTAAGTTTTCAGAAAACTTCAAGCAGCTTTCTTTAAGCCTAAACTTCTATTCCAGTGTTGGGGTGTTCAACACAGATTTTAATGGGAGGGCTGACTGTCACCTTAACAGACTTTTAACAAGTTTCAAGGCTTTATTAAGCCTGCTGACAGCTTGTTTAGAGTGAAAGGGTGAAAATAGGTTTAAGAAACATCCCACAGAGTAAATACCTCAATGTTAATCCGCTGCTGCTGACCCCTGCATTTATTAAACTTCTTTCAATAGTTCCTCTTTCCTCTCTTTTCTCTGTTGGAAGGGGAAGGATCTCAATGTGTTTACTTTTGTGATCACTGTGATTGGTCATTGCAGCAGTCACATGGTACAGAGCTGCTTTAAATCAGCCCAGTACAGTGTTCCTGTTCACAGCCATTAATGGGTGCAGGCCACCCATGTTGTGCTCTCTAATGTTGTTTTTTTAAATGGGGGAAATCACAATCCAACACTCCAGCACAGCTGTCGAAAAGCTGGTAAAGATTGATTTTTTTGACGATGCCTATAGCTTCAGAGTAGAGCTGCAGCTAACGATTATTTTCAAAATCCATTAGTTAGCTGATTAAGTTCGATTAATCGGATATAAAATAAAATACATTTTAAAAAATGGCTCCAGTGATGGGACTACTAGTTTGTATTGAGTGTAGTCCATCACAGGAGCAAGCTTGGAGCGGTGGAAGTAAAACAGAAAAAAAAAGTGTGGTGTGCAATATAGTGAAATGGAAAGTGTAAAATTATCTGGCAGCGGCGAGCGTGAGGTGGGAAGGAAGTGTGGCGCACAGCGTGTGGAGCCGTGAACAGGGCCAACCAATCGGAAGCCGATTAATCGATGATTGAAAAAGTTGACAACTTTTTCAATCATCGATTATGTCGATTAGTTGTTGCAGCCCTACTTCAGAGGTGACTGAGGACTTGTTTTAAAGTGCTTTTACCAGGGCTCAAAATTTCAAGTCCTAAGCTACTAGCCAGGCCTGAAAAGTTACTCGCCACCAGTTGCCCCACCTAACCCCTGCCCCGGCCTTAACTTTAGGGACATACTGAGTGGGGCAACTCAGATTAATAACGTCCAAAAGATGTGGACTGGTAAGGGGGGCTCTTTAAGACTGCGCAGAATCACACCGCTGAACGATTACCTCTTCTCCGCGTTCCTTCTCTATGCTCCCGGACGCTGCAGCTTCAGAGCGGCCAGAGGGAGAATTTTTCACTCGCCAATTGCGAGGGGGCGAGTGGAAATTTTGAGGCCTGCTTTTACTATTCGTTCAAAATACTTTAAGTAAATCTTCTCTGTTTTTTATGCTTTTTTTTTCTTCTTGCTTTGGGATGGTGATTTCTCATGCATTAATATGTGCTGCTGTTCCTATGAAAAGCCCTTATAATGCTTGTCAAGAGATGGAAAAAAATAACTTTTTTTTTTTTTTGCCCAACACATGTTAATACACTGCATGTACTGTTTGTTAATTAGCACCATTAAACACAATGGTGAACCCCTGCACATGCATAAAGGCATGGGTGTAAATGGGCACTTAAACAACCAACAAATGTCTGCTTTTTATTTAAAAGGAACTACAGGCGGAATGATTCTTAATCCTTGCAGCGGGGCGACCCCCGCACTGCAAGGGTAAAGTGCTCGTATTCATCTAGGGACAAAAAAAAAAAGTTATACTCACCTGAACCCTGCAGCTGGCTGGTTCTTAGACTGGTCCCTGGTGCCTCTCTCCCCCTCCGCTCCTGCGAGGGGGATAGAGTCCTGTGAGTCATCACGACCTACGCAGTGTAGAGGACGTAAGGAAGGCGAGAGACATTCGATCACTGGCGTGAATGGGGAGACAGGCTGTAGGGACCGGCCTGCGATTTTTTTTTTTTTTTTTTTTCCCTAGACAAAACTGTGCCCTTAATGCTCGGCGTGCGAGGGTAGCCCCACTGCAAGGGTTAAGATGAATTCTGGCCGGAGTTCTTCTTAAAAAGACTGATAAAATAATTTTTGCTATATATGTGTGTATGTATATGTGTATATATATATA